AAAAATAATAATAAATAAATGAGGATAGGCCACATTCCTTTGTAAAGCTTAGATAAAATGTCAGTTTGGAAAGAAAAGGTTTTCAGAACGTCCGTAAAATGATGAGCTTTAGTTCAGATGTTGACTAAATAAACAAAAACTTATGGTTGATGACAACAGGTTTGGTGAAAAAAACAGTTGAATCTTTAAATAATGCTTTGATTTATGAGCTTGTGAAGTTTTGTTTCCCTACCTGCCTCTAAGATCAGGGGTGTCCAAACTATGGCCCGTTTTTATTGGCCCGCAGCAAATTCTGAATATGTAATTGAATATGGCCCGCACAAGAATTTTTATCTCAACTACGTTGCACTTCTCAGTTTCAACACTGGACGTGAAGCAGCAGCAGCGGGATGTGGGAGGAGGAGCGTCTGCCCTCGGTGGGTGAAATAAAGATAAAATAAAGAAAATGGCTTTAATTTATTTACTAAAGAGCAAGCGAACGTTGCACACAGAAGATAAGTAACTCACCAGATGATTTAGAGGTGATTTGTTCGGTTAGTTTCACCGCTCCATAAGCTGCCAGCTGACAGACTTTTTTTTCTTCTTTTTTTTTTGTCCGGACCAGCTGACCCACATCGGCACTTATATATCCAGCCAGAAAAACCAACTACAGATGGTCGATTTCAGGTAAAGATCTCCTGTTCGTCTGTTTTGGTTTAGTGGGCAACACTCAGGAAACTGTCACGTAGAAAAAATAGTCTCTCGGATTGGTTGATGCGACGCATCGAGCAGCAAAAGTTCAGATTTTCCAACTCAGACGCCATGCAAAAAGAATGATGAGCCTGTTCGGCTCAACATACATATGTGAACAAACATTTTCTCTGTTAAATCAGAACAAAAGCAGACTGAGAACCAGAATGACCGACGCCCATCTCTGTGAAGTCCTTCGTTTCTCAACCACCAAACTTTCTCCTAACATGTCAACCATCCTTCATCCAAAGGACAGCATCACTGCTCCCACTGAGTGCAGTGTTCTTCACATAGGTGAGTTTGAAATACACACATTATTCATGTATGAATGTATCTCATTATTACAGTAAAACTGATCCATTTATGTTTTCATTTTACAAAAATGATACAGTTAACCAACCCCACACTTGACCTTAAAACCCCCTCGATACAACTTTATTCCCCCCCAGAACCCATGCAAAGACTAACCATAGTGACCTTATGCCCAATACTAAACAAACACTATTAGACCATTTGCACAGTTGGACTTTGAGTTCAGATCAACTCCCTGAAGGATGATTCAAATAGAGAAAGTTTTTGAGTTTATTTTCTGTAATTTGTATTTTCTGTTTAAGCCACAGGGCATGCATGAAGATGCAGTAGACAGGCTTATCTTCCTTGGCAAAAAAATGTGTGGGGAAAAAAAAAGACATCAAGAATGTACTTACTGACTTTGCTTGAATATATGTTTTAAACAGGACTGTTAATTTTGTTTACACTGATTTTCAAACTAGCTCATTATTAAAAGAGAGTTTTTAAAAATATTTTCTGTAATTTGTGTTTAAGAAAGCAAAGGAACGATGCAAATCGATTAAAATCAAAAATCGAATTTGGGATGAAAAAAAAAAAATCGAGATTTTTTTTAGGCCATATCGCCCAGCGCTAGTAGTGTGTGGCCTGGCCCTTTGTTTATTTTTCTGTATTTGGCCCTCACTAAAAAAAGTTTGGACACCCCTGCTCTAGATGCATGTTTTCTATTTGAAGGGTTGTTGTATAATAACCACTAAATCCTAATGAACACCATTTAATTTCTCTTATCATTATTTAGTTATCATCATCATCACAGTTATATGGACATCTCTTCAAGAGTAACAAACAGAGAAGGGATTTCTAAAATTAGGAAAGTGGACTGAGAAATAATTTTCCTGGAACACCAGTTAAAGTGGTTTAATTATTGGAAAAACATCTTAAATTTAAACTGCTGCATTCAAAATCTTATGAAAATGTCCAAAACTAGGTGAATTGTTTTTTTTTAGTGGCGATTGTGAAAATGTTTATGGATTCAGTAAATGAATGTCTGCAGATTTGATGTGAGTGTGATGAACAGACTTTGATGCAAGCAGCACGTCTGTGGTGTAAAACTGGATATCTGAGAATGTTACTGAGATGAATGAGTGAACTGATTAAACAAAAAATGTGTTGTTGAAAGCAAATCCAATCTAGGTGGGAAATCCTCCGCTAACGTGCGACTTTATGAAGTAGTTCTGCCTCCATGGATTTTGAATATCATTTAAAAATGAACAGTTCATGTCAGACAGCTGATTCAGATGGGAGGAGAGCAGTAGAAACTAGTGCTGTACCAAACTATTATTTTTTCGATTGATCGCTTATTCTAACAACAAATCTATAAGTTATTCTGATGTGAGTGCACTGGAAATTTAAAATGTTTTCATCAAATTAAGAAGAACAGTTCTTTAATATTGTAATATTTTCTGTAATAGTTTTTTCATGAACACAAAATATGCACTCTAGAGTCAATTCTTTAACAAAAAAAGCTTAAAAGATTTAACATCAACATAAAATCTCAACCAAAGCCGAAATGGAATTGCATGAACATTCACGTGGTGGTTATGTTATACAGCGAATCGATAATAAAAAATCTGCGTCGACAAATTTACATAATCGACGTCATCGATTATTTCAACTAATCGGTGCAGCCCTAGTAGAAACTTTCTTTCTTAAACAGAAAACTGAGTTGACCTGAACTCAAGAGTTTTGATTTCTACAATCCCTTTCTGAACTCTAAATAAAACCTGATGTGTAACATCTGAATGAAAATGTCACCGCTTCCTGCAACAGGTTTTCCCACCAAAGGCAGTATTCTAACATCAAAGGCCTGACTACACACGTCCTCAATGATACACAGCAACAAGTAAATCCAAACATGCAGGTATGTTTACCTGTTTTTTGCTATAAGGGCTTTGATGCGGTCAACTTTCCTCTGCTTATCAGCCTCCTGCTCAGGACTTAAAGGTTCCTCGGGGTCTGATTCAATGTAACGCTCAGGAATCAGCACTTTGTCGGGCACAGACAGCTGAAATAGAACAATCAGGGAAACAATGTGCATTTTTTTTATTAATGCGCTACTTTTCACCTCACAAATACACTGATGTAAAATACTACACGAAACCTTACAAACAAGTACCGTATTTATTCATGTATAATATGATCATCACTTTTTGAGCTTAAAAAGCAATAAAAATCTAATTACCAGTAACCCATGTATAAAAT